ACAGTAATACCAACATTTGCTTTCCACAGTAGGAAAATATCATTATCTAAACCAAGTCAAATTTTCAGCAAATGTTTATCATAAAGAAGAGCAGAAGCAGTGTCTAACCCATAACTACAAAAAACATCCTTGTGTCATCATATACAGCAACATCTTTGCTTAGATGTTCATTTATGGCTCAGTCAGTGCACAGACTTAGGGGTTGTAGGATTCGTAACGGCTCTAAAATGTACTGAATATATGGATCAGTCAGTATTTGGAGATACGGTTTGTAAGATTCTTGGTATTGTTAAACACACTGAGCACCAAGTAATACCAAGGAGTCAGTGTCATTAATTTGATTTTATTCTCTGGAAAGTTATACAATTACATTATGTGCCATTCCTGTGTCAGTACAGATCCTTCCTGCTGAAAGAAGAGGAGCAGAGCTTGATTATCGCAAAATATTTGGAAATGACTGGTTAGAAGCTGGTGGGCATTGGGACCCAGAGAAAAACAAACCAAGCGAAGAATTTCTTGCTGCCCATCCCAGATACCCATCACTCTGTCTTAGTAAGTACAAGTACAGTAAAAGTAGCATTTCCTCAATTTTGGCACTGTGGCAGCACCGGTTTGGTCTGTCTTCAACTTCTCTTCCCCTTGATGCTTTTTCCATGTGCTGCTACAGCCTTAGGAAAGCCCATGCATTGGCAGGCCTGTGTGTGAGTGGCTTTTGCTCTTGTGGGGCAGCTGCCCAGCACTGCCCAGCACTTCAGGGTACTGTGCCTCAGGAGCTTGGGCTCACTGCCTCAGAGATCCCCACATCTGTGAACATCTGCCCCATCACTGTTGGTGAGCACACAGTAGCCCTCTTCCCCTGTGGCTTTTTCAAAGTGAGAATGTTAAGCAGCACCTCCATGTCCCGAATGCTCTGGCAGTTGATCAAGGCTCATGTCTGCAGCACTGTGTGCTGCAGGACCCCAACACTTTCTGTGCTGAGGGAACTGAAGCAGCAGGCTCATGCCTAATCCTACACCACAGTCCTCTTAGGTCTTCTCTTGTGTTTTAGTCTTGAAGGGTTCACGTCTACATGCGCTTTCCTTCACACAGAATATGGTGCACCTGAAGAAGGAGAACTGAAGGGACGACAGCCTTTGACTCTGAAAAATCAGCTTCTGAGTAAGAGGCCAGAAATGGTCAAAATTGTTCTTTCTGCATTTAGAATATTTTATAAGCTACTGTTTGCTGGGTGTATATGGAGGACAAAAGGTTCAAAAGCCTTTGAGATGTCACAGAGTTCCAGTTTGTATTTCTGCTTTCCTGAACTGTATCAGTGAGTTTGACTAGATCCCTGCTTTTGTGTACTCTCTATTTCCTCCTCAACCCAAGCCACATGATTTTATTAATTATGACAATAAAGAACAGAGGTCATTGATACTCCATTCTGATGTGCAAATGGCTTCTTTACAGAAAACATCTGAAGTTTTAACCTCAGCTGCACTGTTTTCTGGTATTATCTTTTTTATAACTTGTTAACTTTAGGACAGACAAGAAAAATATGGGTAGCTTTGGTATTTGGGGCTGTCAACATACTTAATCTAGGTTATATCCTGGACTTGCAAAGTCATGTAGCTGTGTTTCCCAGATGACAGAAGAACAGAACCTTTTTTCACTCCATGAGCAAAATAGTATTTTAAGGCATTTAGGTGGAAGACTAAATAGAACAAGGAATCTAATTGGCTATATGTAATATAAACCTTTTTTTAAGGATAAGTCTTTTAATCTCTGTAAAAGAATTGGGTTAATAATGTCCTTAAAATCTATTTGTATGGTGCTTTTGAGGGCCAAAAGCCCGTTTTAAACTGAATAAGCAGTTTCCACTCCACTGCAGGTTATTTAAAAAAAAACAAAATAGAAATTAAGCATTTTTAGGTAAATACTCCTTTTGACCAAAAAAACATTTTAAGCATTAGGGAATCACTTCTAAAATATTTTCCCTAATTTACCAAAGATAAATAAAAACTTGATTATTTTAATAAAATTACTTTAAATTTTTCAGAGAATGACTAAATGCTATCTTAGCTGCTCAGATGCAGCCTACATCCTAATTTTTTTAGACGATCAGGCTGAGCTAAGGAAAACAATTTGTAATAAAAACAGACTGGAAAGACCGTGCTCCTGCCAGAACAGCCTTATTGTTCTTTCACTAATGCCTCACCATTCTTCCTTAAGCTTTGACAATTAAGTGTCCTGAGAAACCTGAACAGAAGCCAGTAGAGAAAAAGCTACCAGGTAAGAAATCTTGGCTTGTGTTCAAGCAGTTGTTTTGTAGCTCCTTTTCAAATAACTGTATTAAAGAATGGCAGCTGCCTCGGGCTTTGTCAGCTGCTAAAGACCTTCCTCTGTCATATAAAGAAATGTCAAAGGTAGAAATGGTTTGAAAAAGTCACTGTTCTTCTGGCCTTCATACTTACTTTCAGTCCAGCGTGAAGATGCTTGTCTTATGACCTCTGCTCCTGGTTTCATCATTAATGTGTCTGAGGCAATTAAAGGCTAATTAACTGGTATGAAATCTGGTGGATGTGTTAACCAAGTAACCAGAACGTGAAGTCCTAAGAGACAATTATGTAATCTGCGAATCTAGATACTGAGGTCTAGGATGTAATACATTAAGTTAGAAATCTAGTTCTATCAAATTTGTATTTTGAAGTTTTAGTGCCTGTAATGAGCCTAGAATGAATAAGACTGTTATAAATCAAGCTGATATTTTGGAAAGATGTGTCAGAATGGAGTCTGAGAGAAAAGACTTAAACTTTATTCTAAAATAAAAATCACATTTATTATCACAAGTTGCATAAAATCAGATAGATACAGCTTTTACAAAAATGTTTGATAGAAAAATATTTGTCTAAGTACAACATGTGGTATTACAGGAATAACTCGCTATTGCTGTGCCTTTAGATAAAGCTTCAAAAGAAGTGAAAGTTCAACCAAAATATTGAGCATATCTATTGCAAACACAGGTATCGCCTCAGGAACAAACTACATCTACTCATTCAAGATCCATTACAAAAAGTATCCCTTACTGTTACTGACTTCATTATATGAACAACTCTGCTGACAATTTGTTTGGGACCAATAATATTACACCATTCCTAAGAATGGCACTAGTTCCACAGTGACATTCACTTACTTGTGCTGGGAAAGCCAATTCCTGGTAATGAAAACTTCAAGGAACAGTTGCCAGATGCAAGTAGTCAGAACCTGACTGGTATGTGTCCCAAAGGTCACTTAGTTTAGCATGGAGAAATACAAACTAAAAAATGGTAAGTTATGAAGCCATAACACTTTAATTTGGTATATGGGATCAAAGCACTTAAACTGCAGTAGCATATCCTGCTGTATCCATCACAGATTAAAGAATTTTCAATTTGATATTAGCAGTTATGATTTTAGGTACCGAAGATGTTATTGCAGTGTTAGAACTGAAGCAGCAATACAGCCTTTCACTGTTGCTATAAGCAAGTGAAACACTGGTACTTAGCTACAGCTCAGTGACAGCAGCATTTTTCTAATAACTTTTCTTTCTTTCCCCTTGACAGAGTCTATGACTATTCAGAAGGTCAAAGGACTGCTGTATCGCCTATTTAAAATTCCTGGTTCAGAACTGAAACTGTCCTACGAAAGTTCTAAAGTAAGTTAAAAATGGGTAATTCAACAACAAAATACTTCATGCTGCTAAAGGTCAATAGCATGTTCTAAAATACTACCTAAGGAAATTCATTTTACTTCAGGAGGGCAGTCTTCATGCTGTAATTTAGGACCTAATTTCATTCCTGTAATATGACAGATTCTCCCTGACTGCAGTTGCCTGATGTGTATTTGGTTTACATGAAGGGATTTCAGTTTAAGTCTGATAGGGGTTTTTTTTCTCCTTTCTTATTCTAGCTGGAAGGAAAAGAAGTTGAACTAGACAATGACTTAAAGCCTTTGCAGTTTTACTCAATAGAAAGTGGAGACTGTGTGTTAGTACGGTGGTAAGAAGGGACTCTTGCTAGACTGAAGGAAAAGCTGACACAGGAACTGCAGAAGAGTGACAGAGTGGCCGCAGGCAGTATGGACAGCCTGTGCCTGAACACACCTATGGGCGAATACGAGTTTCACACGTGGCACCAGAGGGCTGTACAACTGTACTTTCAGCTCCTCAACTCAGTCATCAGCCTCCCTGAAAGCATCTGCTCATTTCTCTTACTTGAGAGATACCAAATAGTACTTAAATGCTTTAATTAAATAAAACTCAAGGTAACCCTTCTGCCTTCCCACTGCAGCAGTGAGAATTTGTTTTACTGAACCGAGTACAGGGTTTAGTTGTGATCTCTTTGCTTACACGACAAGATTAGTGCTGCACTGAGAGGCTACTTGCTTTTTGTTTTCACCTACGTCCAGCAACCTTAAAGCAAATGAAACCCAGCAGTAATTTTAGAAGTACCTACACAGCCTTAGACTATTAAAAGTCAAAATCTGACAGACCTTTATTCTACCCTACAGTGTTAACATACCATAGTATAAATAAGTTCTCAGCACACTGCAAGGCAATGCTACTTATTTTACATTCTTTAGTGTGCTTGTCCTCAATCTTACTTTACTTTCCCTTGTGTAACCTCAGATTCATATCTAATAACACAGTGAGTTCTCAGAAATCCCTCCTAAGTTTGCAGTACTTGAAGATTTGGTATAAGCAAACTTTGATACTGTTTTTATCTAAAATGGCAATGGTATAAACAAAGTAAGCATAAATCCTAATCCCATTGCTGTCCCAGCCCCTGCACAGATGAGGGCAACCCTTTAGACAGCACAGAGCCTGCTGCAGCAAGACTTACCGGATGCCCTGGTGCTGAGCACAGCTCTCCACTGGATCCTGGTACTGCTCTATACTGAGTTAAATCAGTAATTCTTTAATTTACAAAAGACAGGCTAGTTGGCATTCTTAAGTGCATTTATTAATTACAAGTAGGTCTTTACCTTTATATAAAAAGGAAATTTTTTTATCTTAAGCATTTTGGTTTTTGTCAGATCAATCTATACTATAGAAAATGAATAGTATCAGTCCACTTCTAGTTATCAAAAGGGATGTGCAAATATTGTTATGCTTAAGTTGAAACCCAACATTAAAAGGTACCTTAATATTTCTTATTGTTCCTGGAATAAATCAAAATGTACACTTTTTCATGATCATTATACACTACCCTGTTTTCCAAGGCAAGTCCATCATCTTTCCTCACATCTACATGGATCTCCACACAGTTCCTTTAATCTCCACAGCTCTTTCAGTTCCTGGGGAGAGTACTGGGGGGAAGACAGCATGCCACTCTCACATGTCTTCTCACACAACCAAAGACCATCCTGTTAGAGAGAGAACCATTTCAATAGTTTTTCTTACAAACTATTTAGTCCCCAGGAATTTTCACTTTCAAGAATCGGGTGTTCTTTGTTTATAGCAACAAACTTTGCACACAAAGGTCCCCAAAAGATCTGCTCAACCTAATCAGAGAATCTGAGAGGTAGGGATGGCATCTGCAGGTGGTTTGTGGGGGTTTTGTGGTTTATCTTTGAAATACATCTTCAAATTTTGGTGTTTTTTTTTCCTCTGGATTTTAATTCAATGGTTGTTTCAATTTCTTTTTAAAAACAAAACATTTCCCCTATTTTATGCTACTTGGAACAGGCATGTTCTCTTTCTGTAAGATTAGACAATTCCTTCAGACTTACTTGATATCGCTTGGGTCCTACAGCTGCCATCCAGATGCCCATGCTTACATCTTCACCCTGAGATGACACATTAAAATAAAAAATACAGATATTAGCATCAGGAAAGCATAAAGCATGACTTGGTGACCTGGAATAAGTTGCATCATCTACCAGCAGTAATGAATGATAGCTACAAAAACCTACGTCTGACTATGTTAAGGTTATTAAATTAATCCTCCCAGCTTTCTTGTGTTAATACATTGTTCTTAGAAGAACAGAGTACAGAAACAAAGATTACAGCTCCCAAGGTTCTCAGTCCAAAACATCTAACATTTGTGCTTTGACCTAGAACAGACAGTAAGTGTAGAGACCACAAACATTCCAAAGCCGTCATTAGCCAGGAGAACCCAACACTAATACTGAGCAATGTTCTCTCCAACTCATTCAATCACTAAAAAAATCACTAAACTGTGTCAAGACCAGTTTAAGATAGTCAACCTGAACCAACTCTTTATTACCTGGTACGTCTTTAACCTTTCAGAGTTGCTTGCCAGCCACTGAACAATGTCTTTGGAGATGACATAGCCGGACCCACAAGCAAAGGCTGGATATGCAGGACTTGGATACTCCAGCTCTTGCCATTTCCCAGTTCGATCAACTGCCCAATTTAGTCTGAAACTGAAGACCATGTTAGGTATGAGATGATTATAGAGAGCCCTCTGTGGAACCTATGAACATTGCTAACAATTGTAACACTGACAACAAATAGTACTAAGAGGAAGAAGTAGAAGGTGATCCTAATTATAGTTCCTAGCCTCATTTCTCTAGGGCACACATCTAATTGAACACAAGTGCTTAAATCATAACTATTGTTTGGTGTCAATCTTGGGTAATAAGAGAAAGTTCTCAGAACAGAAACCAATATTGACACAGTCAGGTCTTCAGCATGCTGCACCTTGCTGCTGGGTTTTGATCCAGGAAAGCACATGCATCCTTACCTATGTTCTGTAACAGGCACATCTGTGTCCTGTTAATTAACCCCTTTCATTAATCAACATGACACAAAGTCAGTGCCTCCAGCAGGCATGGCGATACAGTGATGTTACACAACCCATTTTCCTGATAAAACTAGTGGCTGCTTAAAAACCAGGAAGCAATATGTACCTTCTCTAAGCCTTTTTCCAAATGAAACTCCACAAAGCGGATGTTCAAAGGCTGCCATCACTGAATTACAAAAAAACCTTCCTGGCAGTGGTGCCCTCTAAGGAAGACTTCATTCACTACTAGAGGCCTGCAGAAAGCCAGTAGTGCTCTGTCTGCAGTCTCTCCAGACAAACTCCCAGCCCCAGGCAGCATGGCAGAGCTCATTGCCACACCGTGTGGCACTGTGGACCCTGTCAAACAGCTGTGTGAGGCAGGGAGAAGCATCCTGCTTTTCCTTTTTGGGAACAGGCTGGTATTGCACTCCCCTGGCCTTACAAATACTTCATGCACTCATAGCTAAGTGGCATTAACTGTGTCAATGCAGCAGGTTCTCCCCATTTTACACACAGGTTCAGCATTGCTGAGTTCAGCCATGAGCACAGCAGCTGAAAGCTTTAGTGAGCTACTAAGAATTGTCACCTCAGACAACAGCCCTGAAAGGGAGAAATTACAGCTGAGTGGCAGATCTGTTATCAGACTCAGCACATTCTCAGCATAAGATGACATGTTAAAGCACCAAAGAGATAGAAGTCACATCTGATACCTCAATTCACTTTAGACTCAGTATTTTCCACTCTTTTGAATCACAGCAGGAAGTGTGCAACCCCCTCCAGACTGAGAAGCACTTGCTTTGATAATCATTTTATACTTCCATAGTTATTTCAGCATTGTTCTCTACACTTCACACTTGCCTTAGCTGAAGACTGACTATTTACACGTGAAGATGTCACCCTTACAGATCTTTGAGATAACCACAAGATAGCCAGCTATTTCACACACACTTGACCACACACCTTATTAAATCACTTTATGAGTAAGCAACAGTCAGTACCAGATTTGTCAAGCAAAGCAGCAAAGGCCTGTTTTTCCTCAGTAAGCAGATGGCAACAGGAAGGCCCATTGTGCCATTATGCTATGTTGACTGTTATAGTAGTGTAGAGTTTCTGCTATATTGGATGCTATACCAGAGCTGCAATGCATCCCATGAATGGAAAGGAACCTGTAGACTATTTTGATCCTCCTAGTTATTCACAAGTGTAATACAGGCTGGGAAAGTTTACTCAAAAATTCACTGATCAGATCTACTGTTTCAAACAGCAGCAAAAATGGGTAGCAATACCTGTCACTCACAGATGTCAAAATAAAGTGCAGACCATAAAGGAAATTTTGTTTCTCCTGTTCACCCCATCTCAAGCCCACCAGAAAAATCACAAAAAGTAATGTTTACAGTTCTTTAGTATGCACGTGCCTTTTAACCTCACTGTGTTGCTGGAATACTTTTATTTACTTAAGTACCATGACAAAGATGTCTATAACACATTTTGAAACTAGCACATTTTGATAATCAGCAAGTTTAACTCACTGTAAAGGCACACTGGAAAGTTACTGTAAATGACTAGTTTCTGTCTTCTGAGATTCAAAGTTCTCACATATACAGAAATCCTGCCTTTTATAACTGGCTTCCTTAGGCAGAAAAGGGGAACCCACATGAAAATAGACTTAAATCACTAAACTGTGCACTAAAGACATGCTATCTCCTAAATACAAGTTCGGAAAATAACTCACTTCCCCCACCAAATGTTTGGCCTGTCCAATTTTTTCTGCATTATCCTGTTAAAAACAGCCTCCAAATCAATGTAACAGTCGTCGTCCGTCTTCAGCAACAAGTCAAAACTTGTTGATTCAACTGTCCTGCAGCCAAAAAGAAAAGTGATGAGACGCTGAGCAACACACCACAATGTACAGATACGCAATACAAGGTTCTGCAAAAGTTTTTTGGGAAGCAGAGGGAGACGGAAAAGGGAAGGAACGTCTTTCCTACCCGTGACTTTTACATGTTTTCTCTATCAACCAAGGCTGACTGCTTGTCCTACAGAAAGGAGATGCAGATGCATCCAAGGATAATCTTACACCATGGACTTGTGCATGAGCTGAAGAAAACAAAGTTTTGTTCTCCAGGACAGATGGTGGATTTATTAATGAATCTGTCTTAAACAGTGTTGACTTCAGGAGGATATGAATCCCTGATGATGATGGCAGCACAGCTGTTAAAAGCCACTGGCTACACGTCAGTAGCCTACTTTCAGGATGAGACAGTCAGTTCAAGGTAATAAGAAGGTTTTAGGTTTTACCAAACATCTGTGGAAGCAACTCGGTACTTACTCCTTCTCAGTAAAAGCACCCTTCAAATATGAAAAATGTAATCTTTAACTGTCTGCAATAGTTGAATGTCTGACACTCATAGAATAACCAAAAAAAGCTTGAGATTTTATAGATCATGGCTGAGTTGGTTACAAACACTGCTTTTAAGGGTAATTTCTCATAACAAGAAAGGCATTTTTTAAAGCCTTTTATTACTAAATCTTGAAGTATTGCTAATCTGTAAGAAATGACCACGAAGATCTAAGTCTTGACATTTAAACTCACTTTTAGAACTGAAAGCATGGTTCAGCTTTTCAGTTACATTCATAACCATGAAATTTGTTAAATAAATGCATAATCTGGCAAGCAGCTAAACTGAATTCTGGCTAAATTACAACTGTCAGCTCTATTTCTTACTCCACAGCAACATCAATTAATTGAAACGGTTGCCTCAGAGTAACGGAAATAATTGAAAATTAGAGGTAATAACTTATTAGATTCATCACAGACAATGTGTTACACTATGAAAAATTCTTCCTATAAATCTTCTGCTCCCCCCCCCAAGTTTCCCATCCTTCCCTGCAACTCAGCACTGGTGCAGCCACATCTAGACTACAGTGGGCAGTCTTAGACTCTTCAGTACAAGAGGGACAAGGACATACTGGGTGGAGCAAGGGCCATCAAGATGATTAAGGGGCTGAAGCATCTCTCCAATGAGGAAAGGTGAGAGAGCTGAGACTGTTCAGCCTGAAGGAGAAAAGGCTTGGAGAGAGCTCATTAATGTATAAATACCTGAAGGGAGGGTGTAAAGAGGTGGAGCCAAGCTCTTTTCAGTGGTGTCCAGGACAAGAGGCAATGGCCACAAACTGAAACACTGAGTTAAGTACACAAACTGGCCAAAAGCCATCCTTTGAAAGACTAAAACTGCTAGTTTTCAGTTAGATACAAATTAAAAGAAATTACAAGGAGACATGACAATTTTCACACCTGGACTCTTAGAGCAGAAGCCTGTCCTGCCAGCTCATGCTTACTTGAAGCACCAATGGTCAGCATTCAAGACTATAGGTGTTGTTATTTTACTCACTACATGCACCCAAAACTGTGAGAGAGAAATACAACTTGATGAAGTAAATCACATAAGGCATATATTTCATGGAACCTATGCTAGATCATCTTGCACTACAGACAGCAACATTCTGAACAGAAAACACTTTATTTTCAACTTACCATCGGTAGAAGTTCAGCAGTTTGGTGGGAACATTTCTGTAAGTGTCAATAACATCTACAAAAACAATATCATCATAGGTACTGCTTTCTTCCTTCAATAAAGTATCTTCTTTTTCAAGGTTTTTTATGTGACTTGTAAACCTTTCCGGGCGAGTATGGAGGTTTTGTAAAAGAGCATCACCTTCTGAAAGAAACAACACCCATCATTAAATAAAGGTGCATATCTACATACTATTTCACGTGTTTCTCTTGGATCATACACAATCTATTGACAAAATTAATCTGAAAAAACATTCAAATTAACGGGGTTATGAAATTCCTGCAATTAATTTTAAAATTTTTATGAAATGGTAAAAGTTGCAGAAC